CTCACCATCCTCGCCTTCGCCGTCATCGTCGTCGTCGCCTCCATCAGCGTCATGGCCGTCTCTCCGCTTCTTGCTGGCATTTTCTGCAAGTCCGCTGAGCAGCTTGCCCGTGTCGGTGGCCACGCTGTCGACTCTGCTGGTATAGATCTTGACGCAGCCGTCAAGTGTGCAGCTCGCCTTCTGGAAGTTGACGCCGTCGCCTTCCTTGAGCAGAGACATTTCGTGAAAGTAATCGATGAGAGCGAAGTTCCACGAGTTGTTTGCGTTTATTTTCTGCCCGTCACGTCAGCCTCGACCTAGTGGGTGCAGCTGTGTATGCCTACGTTGTCCGTGGCCATCTTCATCCATTCCTCGAAGTTGGCCAGCAAGGGCATGACGCCGCGGTTTCCCGGCGTGACGGCGTTGCCAGTGATGTCTGGCATGTCGTCCTGGTCTTGCGAGGGCGTTTGGGGGCTGTCATGGTCGGCGCCATGCAACGTGCGTCGTCTTCCAGGCGTGGCAGTGGCCGTCGAGGCGCGCATCGAGTTGCGCTGGGCTTCTTGCTGTGCATGGCGGCGGATAGCCTTTTCCTGTCGGTCGTCGTTGAGCGGCACCTTGATGGGTGTCTTCTGCGGCGAGGCGGCCGTGTTGTACTTGGTCGTGCGCGCCATGGTGGGTTGGGTCGTGGTGCTTGTGATGGCCCTGGCCGCCGGAGCGTTGTTTGTTTGGGCGAATCCGCGCGGGGGTTAGCGCGCTACCACCATGACCTTCCGCATCAACGCGCTCCCGAGTGCAGACACCCACACTCGCAATATCACGGACGTCGGGCTATTTGCAACCCATGCAGCCACCATGGCAATGTACGCGACAGACGTCCAATTAAGCATAGTTTCCGCACCTAAACTCTCCTTCCCCACAATTCGTTTACTACTACCCTTGCTCCGATGTTAATACGCCGCCCCAACTATTAAACCTTCGTGTTTACTCGTGACACTCTATAGCGCGGCCTCCATTTTCCGTCAATGAGGGATGAGCGGACATGCTACTGGATATGTTAGCATGACGATGCTAGGCCTGTTGTCGCTCGACACTATATCTTAGACGTGCTTCCTCGACCCGCCATTCTTGATTGACATCTGCATTCTGATATTCCAACTTCGCCATGCGCCTTCTTAGTTTAGCAGGCCTTAGCTTGACCGCCTCAGTCGCGAGTGCGACACTTCAGATCGTCCCTGGTGCAACCTGGACAGCAGTGCGTTGCGTCGTGTCCCATCCGGAACGCTAACTGACGACATCGCTTCAGACAAACACAGGTCAGCACATTCAGGCTCACGGCGCCGGCATCATCAAGGATGGAGGAAAGTGGTATTGGTAGGAATGGTCTACCCATAAGCTCAAGCTCTCCCAGTCTGACACACCGATAGGGTTGGCGAAGACAAAACCAACGGAACAGCTTTCACAAACATCAACTGCTACTCGTCCACTAACCTCGTCGAATGGACTTATGAGGGTGCTCTGATCTCTCGTACTGCATCCGGCGATACAGGACCCAATCGTGTCATCGAGAGACCAAAGGTTATGCACAACAAGCAAACAGGCAAATATGTTCTATGGATGCATATTGATAGCGCCGACTATGGTGAGGCCAAGATCGGTGTCGCTGTTGGAGACAGTGTCTGTGGAAAATACACGTATTTGCGAAGCGAGCGACCATTGGGTTTCGAGAGTAGAGATTCAGGCGTGTTCGTTGATGACGACGGCAAGGGCTATCTGCTCACTGAAGACGTAGGCTTCTCTTGTTCAACCATCAGCACACACATTACTGACAAAGAATAGCGCAGCAACGGCTTACGCATCAACGCACTCTCCGATGACTATCTCAGCATTACTAAAAATGTCTACGTCTGGAAAGAGAAATATGAGTCCCCAGCCGTCATCAAACACGAGGGTGTATACTTCATGTTCGCTTCACAGCTCACCGGATGGAACCCAAACGACAACTACTACAGTACATCAACGGCCCTTTCGGGACCATGGTCTTCGTGGAAAAAGTTTGCAGACTCAGGATCAAACACATACGCTTCTCAAACAACCTTTGTATTGCCTGTTGGGAACGGATACGTATACATGGGCGATCGATGGCAGAGTGAGAATCTGATGAGAAGCACATATGTGTGGCTCCCACTTCAGATCTCCGGGACTACCGCCAGCATGAAGAACGCAGTCAACTGGATTCTTGACCCCAACTCTGGGGCCACTACTTCCGGTCCCGAAGAAACCTCGTACGAAGGTGAAGGCGCAAACCTTGCTAACGGTGCCAAATCTCAGGCCTGCTCTTCCTGCTCAGGCTCCAAGGCAGCTGGGTACATTGGCGGCACCACGTCCGGCTCGGCCACATTTCCCAATATCCAGTCTTCAGCAACGACTCGTACGACGATGAGGATCAAGCATCTCAACGGTGACAAGAGTCAAAGGTATGCAAACATCAGCGTGAACGGGAAAACGCAGAAGCTAGCATTCCTGCCCCATGGAGGAGGGGATCCAGCCAGCTCGGTGATACACGTCGATTTGAAGCAGGGTACGAATGAAGTCAAGATCAGCGGTATCGATGGAGGCTGGGGACCAGACATTGACAGGATCTTCGTTCCAGTCAGGTGATTCATCAAGGCTTAAGATCCATGTTTCATGCTGCCCAAAGCGTTAGGCTTGGTACAAGAGGGGAGAAGATTTGACCGTGGGCTCCGAAAAAGACAGTAGGAGATGCGTGGAGTACCTAGGTATGATTCCAAACATGATAACTTGAATGAAGATTGGAAAATGTTTGAATTCGCAAGTTTCCATTTGAACTTGGTGATACGAGCTGACCTGCAGCTGCTGAACGAGCGAAGGTATATATATATATATATACAGCGTTTGCGTCGTTACATTAGGTGAAATAGGGCCCGTGAAGCAACACAAGAGACTAAGAGATGAAATACTTTGCCTTTACGCTTCGAGCAGCAGCACCCTTAGCTGCCGCACCCTTGGAAGCAGCTCCAGCTCCAGCCGCCGCACCACCGGCTGCCATGTTGCTCATGACGAACTTGGCGGCCTCGTTCGCATTAGCACCATATGACAAGTGCGGCGCCAGGATGACAGCCTGGCCCGCACAGATAAGATCGCCAGTCGCGCAGATGATCTTGGTGTTTCCGGCCGCGACTTTACCGACAGGCTTGCCGTTGTTTGGGTCACCAAAGATGACAGCGCTGGACACAAAGGCCGAGTCTTGGGCACTAAGCATATCTGCTGCGTTATGAACGAGTTGTCCACCTTGTCTGATTGTTCCGTTAGGCTTCATAGTCCTCAAATCTTATGGGAACTGCTTGTTACTTACGAGTAGCCCGCCATAACCAGTGTAGTGTCCGGGCATTGCGCCCTGACCTGTCCAACCATCTGCGCCATGAGCTGACTGCCTCCTTTGTCACCACCAACAAGGAAGCCTGGAACATCTGCTGGGTATTGGATGCCTTGTACGGCGACGTTGGCAGCACCTCCCATCATGGCGCCGAGGGCCGTGACAAATGGCGGGCCCGCAATGCTGCCCATGTTGCCAAGTTCGGTTGGGCCACGGGCGAAAAGGACGGTCATTGGTTTGCAACCGCCGCCATTCTTCACGTCGTTCTGAGTGATCGAAGTAAGGGCGGCGAATGCGGTGGTTGGGAGGAGGAAGACGAGGGACTTCATGACTGTAGAGGGTGTGGCTTGATTCCGTCAAGGAATTTGTATTAAGATATTACAAGTGTGTGGTGAATGTAGATAAAACAAGTACGGGTATCTTGAGAAGTGAAGTAGAGATGGATGGGCTGCTGTTCATCTCATGAAGCGAATGACATGTCTTCTTATAATCTGGCCCAGCAGAATGCCATGGTCAACGCTGAACAATTAACCACCGCTTTCCAGGAGCTTGAACATGTGATGTACACATCTGTCATGTTTTCACTTGCTTTTCGAAAAGACATCAAACGTCATGCCAGACCACAAATAGTACGCATACTGGCGGTCAAGGGTGTCGTGCGACATGTTCTACGAGCCCTTCCATGTCGAATCGAGGCCATCGGGAACGGGGTTAGGGTTAGGGCTACAGCATAGTAGCCGCTGTCCCGGTATACCTAGGAGGAACTGTGACAAAAACTGCCGAGGTTCACGGGGGATGCGCAGCATGGATACTCTAGATGACCGAGGCGGCAAGTTCCATCTGATGGGGCTGGGTGTGAGATGCTTGGCGTTGTTTCCTACCCCTGCGATTTGATGCTTCGCTGTCCGCGTGACTTGACGTCAATGCGGCTTCAGACTGAGCTCAGGACGTCCAATGTTGTAACCAGACTATGGGGAAACGGCGAGCCAATCGCATCTCACAAAGATGTTCGGCTAAAATCACGTCTCATGACTCTGAGTTCTGTCGCACCGTGTTCACATCCTGTGACTGTTTCAGCAGCCTGTTCCATCTCTTCAGATCCCGAATCGTCATGCGTTCCAGACTCAAGGCCAAGCTGCGGTCCAAACCTACGGTCGCACAGCTTCCCAGGAATATCGGATCGTCGCCAACATGGCTCGTTCAAAAGTCTTGGTGAGCTTGTCCATGCGACATGGTGTCTGCGAAAGCATCGTAGTTATCCAGATGCGGGCGAACGAGTCACGCCTTGACATTTGTGCCGCTAACGTCACTGTGGAAAAACGCTTCTCAAGCTGATGCATCGCGCATACACGTCGAGATGATTCGAAAGGGCTACGCTGCAGAGACGCTGAAGGAACAAGAGAAAAGGGCTACGATGTAGAAACACTGGAATCGCGAGGAGAAAAGGGCGATGTTGGCTACTTTGGTATTTGGCACCACCCCGCCTTTGCCCCAAGAGGAAGGTACTAGCGACTTGTGCAATATCCCAGTCCATGATCTTTCATTGTATAACTAGCTCTAGCGCTGCGCAAGAAAGGTCTTCTAGTAAACAGTTTCAGAGTTCAGGTATCATAAGTGGACGTACATCATGCCTCTTGAAGTCCATCGCATAACCTCTCCCACCGACTTTGACGAGTTCGTCGCCATACAGATTGCTGCCTTCGCCAACGGCGGGGGTATCACATCTCTGCTCACGCCAAATCCTATCACAGAGGAGTATGTCCAAAAGTCTGTCGGCAAGCACGTCAAGTCGTGGAGCGAAGAAAAAGATGTTATTTACCTCAAAGTCATTGACACCGATCTCGATGGGAAAATGATTGCAGTCGCCAAATGGCGCATCAACGAGCAGGAGCGAAGTGAAGAAGAAGCCAAGAAGATGTATCCGGTACCCGACGAGAAAGACAAAGGACAACAAGGTTTGCTGGACTTCATGGCCTTTCTTAGTCGAGTAAGGAAAGAATACATGGGAACAAAGCCTTTTTACTGTCAGTGCCCAGCCAAACATGTCGAGATGATCTGCTAACAAACACTAGTTTTACACATCCTCGCAACGCACCCAGACCATTATCGTAGGGGTGCAGGGGCCATGCTGCTCGATTGGGGTACCAGGCAAGCGGATCGCGCAAGACTACCTGCCTTCTTGGAATCGTCACCAATGGGCAAGCCGTTATATGAGAGAATGGGATTTCAAGCCAAGGAGGGTAAGTCGCAGACAAATCAACTGCCTTCGGGACTGTCACTGACTTTGTGTTTTCGTCATTGCAGTGGTAACGTGGGATCTGACACACTATGGGTTAGAAGGTACAGATTACAGCACAGTGATGCTTCGGGAGCCCATTTCGTAGAAGTTTCTGGGTTTTGTAGCACGAACAATGCCAAGAAAGCAACAATCAGGTTTCTGACCGTGTCGACCGGTGATGCATCTCATGTCTTACTCACACCACCCGTTCTTTCCCAAACCTAACTTTCACATCCAAGCCTCTCTTGCTCAAGTCCTTCACTCTCCTTACAAACTCCAGTTCCTTTCCACTCTGTTCTAGCATCGGACTCCTCCCTATGTCCTCCAATACAATTTCGTTCAAATCTTCCATTCTGTTCAGTGCTGCGAAAAAGTGCTCCACAGTATCTCGACTTCCTTTGCTCTCCAGAATGCTCATGGCTGGCTGCATAAGGGTGAGTGCCTTTATCTCGGAGGTAGCTGGTCCTGCGCAAGAAAAGAAGACAATCGCAGTCTGTAGGTCAAGGATCCGTATAGGGAACCTGGAGCACATATAGGAAAGGCATTCAGCCCGAATCTGGCGACTGACGCGAAAGAGAGGAAGGTTCAGCACCGACACGGCAAGATGCTCCGGTTTGGTGCAATTTACGATCACAATGGAAGACAACTCTGGGTAGATAGCCATGGCGTATATATGATTGCGTATCTCGCCTGGTAGTTCCAGAAACGCACAATCTGTCTTTTGGGGCTGCACAGAGTCAGCTGTCTGTTGTACCAAAGCGCTGGGTATTTTTTACGGGCGATGCTGACACGTTGCCGCTGGGTCGTTTGTGGCGCAACCATTTGATCATCATTGTTTCTATTGTACAGTCCCCCCTGGATGTAGTAAGACGAGGACGGATCGATGCAGCGCTCCTGATGATGGAAACGCGGGCGGGTAGCGCCTTAACCCCATCAGGATAGCTCACCTTGATAATCGTCTGGCGCCCAACACAGCTCTTTCATCATACTTGCAATATCGCGCAAGTGATTAACTATAATATATAATTCCATTGATCACGTTATATGAACACGTTGTTGTGGTAGAAGAATCTAATTCAGACCCATGGCTTGCCTATGTATTGTACTATTATCCTTTCCACTCCAGCTATGTCACATTCATGCATATGGCCACGAAAATCCAAAACAGACCTTAGAAAATATACTACGTTTACACGTTTGTCACCTTGTAATCTTTGGGGTCGCACTGATTGGGATGTCAGGTCGACCAGTCATTCTAATCCTCTCCCTTATCAACCTCTCCGTTCTGCTTAGTGACCGCACCAGGGTGGTAGGTCCTTCGACGTCACTTCTCCCAAGAACATGTCCCTCATTATCTCTCTTCGCATAAACTCGAATGGTATGTCCAAGTTTATGGCTTGGAGTCGGCGGCGCGAATGGAGGTGGGACGGAAGGGCTCTGTATCGCCAAAAGCAACGAGTCAGCATTAGCGCTTGTCTTCAAGTGCCGATCTTGTTCAGCGTCAAGCCGGAGTGATTGTGCTGCCTGGCATGTGGGTGACTGTAGGGCGATTGAGCGACCATGGACTTGTTGATTCGCGAGCTTGGAATTATGGTTATTACGGCGACGGTAATAGACTATCCCAAGTAAAGCTGCAATAATTGCGAGGATTACACCAGCTGCTGTAGCCAGGTATTTGCTGTTCTGATCAGACCTTGGAACCATCAGCCTATGGTTTGGAGGATAAAGGTCCCATACGTACCATTGGTAGTCACTCTTTGGGATACCCTGGCTTGTCTCAGTGCATGCAGGGGTCGGGACGGTTGGGTGACAGACCAGGCTGGATGCGACTGTCGTTCGTACAGCCGCTGAACTCATGGTCAACGTGGAGATGAACATGTTCGTCTTCGCTGGCTTTGGAGATGTACACATATCAACGTAGTAGCTGTGGATAATTTCATCGTCCTCTTTATTACATACATGTTGACAAACCACTCCACTCGTATGGAGGCTGCGCAGGTAATCGGACTGACACACGCAGTTTCTGTATGTGGACAGATCGGATATCGGAGCCGCTGGTGGAACACAGTTGCCTTCAGAGATCTCCAGGATACGGCATGACCTCGCACATGCTGGTAGTAGATCATAGTCAAAAAGACTTATGTCGTGATTCTTGCTCACTCTCGTGAAGCGATGCATGGTGAGTTGTTGGTTGGTCAGTGACTAGGGCGTAAGCTTCCTAGAAAGGCGTTCCCAGTCGGAGACTGTGATAAACAGCGCGTTTCTGGAACGAACACGGTGCAACCTTTAAACAAGCTTCACTTGCTGCTGATTTCACGAGGTCTTATAAGGCACTCACGGCCGCCTCCGCCGCACTGTCGCAACCTTTGCTCTTTCTCTCTAACTTCCATGTTTCCGCTTTAAGCACGCATCTTGATTGACATGCGACTCTTCGAACAAGAACATCACAAATCCAAGTAGCAGTTCAAGAGAAGTAGTCGAGTGGGCGGAGAAAGACTCAAGTCTGGCAGGCGTTCTCAACGAGCATACTTGGAGGCGCAGCGAAGCCTTTGATAATGGCCTTGTTAGTGACTCTCGCGGTGATGATTATGACAATGACGGATAGGGCCTCAGCGTGGAGAACAGTGTCAGAACTATGTTTGGTGTGCTTGAGGGCTTTGCTTCGCAGGAGTAATTCTTGGCAAGCATTTGCGGAGTTCTCGGAGGTGCCAAGATGACGTGGTGTTTGCATCGTTTGCATCCGCGCCAGAACTTTGGGGAAACAGCGACAGGGAGTCTGCCACCATTAGCACCATCACAATGCTCGCACGCACACATGTATCTCCCCGATTACTTTTGAGGGCGCTTGTACGGCCTCGTGCTACAAAATCCTCTGTACTCCACCCTTTACCAGCGTGCCCTCGACGTGGAAAACGCACAAAAGCCAGCCGACCCGATGAGACGGAGAAGGATGCGACGACCGGATCCAGGTCTGCGATACGGGACAAGCTCAAAGGCGCAAAATCCGTTTTCGAGAACGATGCGGAAACAGACAGGCTTATGCGCCCGCTGTCTGACGCCGAACTCGAACGTGACGATATGCCCGTCATCAACTGGTATGAGCAGGACTTGGACAAAGGCACGCCGCAGCGTCTCGTTGAACGCTTAGCCACACCGGAAGATCGCAAGAAAGACAAAGAGATGTACATGATGATAGAGGAATCACAGAAGAACCCGGACTACGACGACGCAAGGCTGAACCGGCGACTGATCGACAGCCTACTGGCTAACCCAAACTTCGCCGAATTGACGGACGAGCTCAAGGATATCAAGGAAGGCATCAAGTCGAGGGAAGAGCTCCAGCAATTAGAAGAGCAGGCAGCCATCGAAGCAGGGAAGGAAAGCAAAGAGTTCAAGACTGGCCTACGGTCCGCCACACTCCAAACTCTACAAGACATTGTCAGCGATCCGGATATCGGAGATGCGAAGGCTGACCTCCAAAAGTGCATCGACGAGATGCCAAATGTGGAGGAAATGGACAACCCCGATTATCAAGCCATGCTGAACAAGGCAATGGACAAGCTGGGGGCCAACGAAGCTATGCAGAAGAAGGTTGCTGCTATGAGCGAACATCTCGATAGCCCGAAATTAGAGACTGAATGGGAGGAGTACCAGAGAAACACAGAGGACGCTATCGCTGAAGCTGAGGCCCCAGATGACGATCTCACAATGACAACGCCCGAAGACCTGCAGGATGTGGATAAACTCCTACACCAGATGCGGGATATCATGAAGTCGCTGGGTGGCGACAGCGGCCTTGAGTCTGAACTTGATGCAGCCCTCAATGAAGACTCGTCGTCGAACCAAGATCAAGACGGTGTATTCGAACGTGAGATGGACCCGCAAGAATTAGCGGAGGAAATCATGAAGTTTGCCGAGTCGAAGGCATCGCAGCCCCAGCAGCTTGTGGAGGACGAGGAAGATGTTCCCGCCGAGCTACAAGCCAAAGTTGACGAAATCATGAAAGACCCCAAGTTGATGGAGAAGCTCATGTACATTCAAAAGCTCATCTCAGAAAACAAGCAACAGCAAGGTGATCTTACTACTATTGCGCACGATAGTGCACCTGATCCCTACCAACTCGAAGACGACCGCACTACTACGCTCAAAGAACGTATGGCTGCCGCCCTCCAGGATCCAGAACACTCTGCCGCCCTCCAACGACTCCGCGTTCATCTGCCCCCACCTTTTAACATCTCGCCCGCGTTGAAGTCTTTCAATCAAGCCATTGAATTCGCATACATCGGCGCAAATGACGACATCCGCCGGATTCTCTGGCGCTCGTATCAAAAAGCGCGATCTCTACCTACCTTTCTCCAAAATATCAGTGACGAGGCCTGGGATATACTGTATTACTCCCAGGCAGTCACATGGGGCAGCAACCAGAACCGTGAGAACCATCTCAGAACCTTGCTAGCAGATCTCAAGAGCCTAGGGCGAGACGGTCCACCCACGCACCCTAGTTCACTTGTTAACGGGGGTGTTGAGCAGATGGACACATGAAATGCCAGAGATTTCATAACGATGTATGGCTGTACGATATGACGACATGTATATGATACCCTTTGAATACATAACACTCCAAAGGCACTTTTCCAGAGCCATTCTTCATCCAATCTGACATTGTATTTTGTACATAGTGCTAAGGGCCTACCTTCTTGCACCTATGGCATCGATGATATGCCAGGAGCTACTATAAGCCAATATCTGATCATCTCCAACTCACTGAGACCCCAACTGCGACCGTTAACACTTCCGCCGACGCTGTTTCCGATTCTGACAGGTATGAGTGAGAAGGCGCAATTATCTCTTGCCTTGTTCATCGGTACTTCCCGTGAAAACTTGTGTGAAAAAAGAAACGGTGCTATACTACCTTTCCACAACTCTTGTCGACGGTACCAGTCACTCCAACACTATACGAACCTCTAAATCTCCGTTCAACTGCTGCTAGCCCCTGCTCTCTCATACCAGCTCTCATGCGAGTAATCCTTCTTCGGTCCCTCAACCTCGTATCTGATCATGAATCGCTCAATCTTCGCACCGCGAAACTTGAACTCGCAGTGATTG